AGTTTATCATGTACAGACTAGCTCGGCTATCCCCTGAAGTTTCATTTCCTAGTAGTAATGTGCCATGGCAGGAGACCAGTGGGACATAGATTAACAAGCTAAATTCTCTCTGCTGTTGTAATAAGAAGGAAGCATACTATGTTGGAACTGGAGGTAAGACAAGCTATGCGTTCTAATTCTAGTTGGACAAAAGGGAAGATTAGCCTCTGAAAACCCTCTTGTCCCATAATGGGGAAAAACAAAAAAAGCTAGGAAATCCTATTTGAGGGAAATCATCTAAGAGGCTCTCAAACGCCCTAAGAAGGTTTGGACATGAGCCAGTAGGTGCCAGCTGCCTGTCTTTTGACCAAGATGTGCTGCCAAAACACAGAGTTCCACTCAGTGTAACGGCTAAACACTATGGGAAGAGGCTCTACTCAGTGCTCTGCCCCTCAGCTTGGGTCTGCCACAGAAATGATTAAATACAGGGCCTGTTTCCCCATCATGCTTTGACCAGCCCTCTCCCCAGTGTTCCATTCCGCACGAGAGCTGGTCTCTTCCATCTTCTCCTGTGCTCTCCTATTTTGCTGAAGCATCCTATACAGTATTACAAGGGTTTCCCCTCCATTCCTGTAGGCCACCATCTCATCCCCACCCTATTCTGAGGGCTCCCCTCCATTTGCGACTGAACTGCTGCTCATCATGAGCAGTGGAGCTGGGCAAACTGGGATTACCAACAGGGTTTCTTTGTGATCACCTGCAGTAGTTGGCTTCCAGTTCAGCATCCCTATCATTGCAGCAGATCCTGGCACCACCTTTCTCCTTGTTCCCTTGTTCAACAGGGTCCCTCTGCCTGGTCAGGTGCCAGAGAGAGCCTGGCTCCAGCACTGTTCCTGCATGAAGTGATGTGTTGCCTTCTGCACGGTGCTAGTGTAGCTAGAGAGTAACTGGTTGATGTGAGCCAGCTATAGCCCCAGCTCCTCTGATCATGCTATGGCAGAAGCCCATCCCAGCTACCCACTATGTTCCCATATCAACTTTTGCTGCACTGGACCAATGCACAACCAGCTCAGGGGGATGGTGAACTAGTGATTGCCCAAGAACCCCACTGCTCCTGCCCACTTGCTCTAAAGGGGCCTAGCACCCATGAGCTCCACTCTGTTCTGAGCAGAAAACTGAGGAGTTATAGTGTTAATTGGTGTTACATTTTCTGAAAGTATTTGGACAGTTACTGTAGCTGGCCTAATCTGTATTTTCAGAACAGAACTGAGAGAACAGAAAAAGGTGCTTTATGAAATATAAATAAAATTAGTACTTCTGACACAAATACTCATACTTAGAATTAATCATGCTTATTAACACAGTAAACTATGATAGAGGAAGGGGAATTATTTTTGCTTCACTGAATTCCTATACAACAAAGTTTAAGAACCTCTGAGCTAAGAAGAAGAAACTAAGCTCAGTGTTTAACTTTAAACATCTATACAAATGAAAATAGTAAATAATTGCATCTATTAATATATACAGTCACGTTATGGCTCTAAGCAAAAGCTTCATGTGACTATGTTCACTCCCTCAGTGACCTTTATTCAGTTCTCCCACTAGTTGGCTATACTTTACTCATACTGTATTAAAATATCTACTTATAGAACTAATCCCAATATACTGGTTAATGCTATTAACTATTGTTCACAAGCTCCAATAGTAAACAGAAAAGTTTATTGAAATAATTCACAAAAGCAATTTGTTTAATTATAAGAAGAAACCAATGCAAGCCATATCACATACAAAACAGATGCAACAGATAAATGGTCTGTGAGTTTTTTTGTGCTAATGAACCCTAATGTGCGTGAAACAGACCAGAAAATAAGATTTTATAGTCTCATTCACACTCTCCTCCCACTTCAGCTTCAGCCTAAAAATCAATATGATCTCACATTGCTGTTCACTACACCACAGAAGAATGGCCCGGAGAGATTTACAGACACTTGTGATTCAGTTCCAGGAAGATGTGGCTTGAGTAGTGCTTCAGTTTACTTAGTATTTACTACACAAAGTACTAGATAAAATGCACCTCCTGAACAATTATCCTAAAAGCAAAAGCATGTCTTTGAAATCATTTCCAGAAGATTCCTTAAAGCTTTACTAGTGCTACTTATTTGTAAATAGAAAATTGCTAATCTAGCCTTGTTGGTTTATAGATCAATGCCTCCTGACCAGCATAGTGACAAATTAACTATCAACTCTGCCCTAAGAACAAACGAGTAGTCTACATACCATGCCAAGTCTGTGATACTGAAAGTTTGTTTTTTTTTTTAATCCAGAAAGTTTTATAAAAAATGTTTGTTTATATCATGGCCTAGATCGGGGGTGGGAAATAATTTTTGGCCAGGAACCACTTCAAAAATTTCTGAAGTGGCCCTGGGCCACCCAGAAGGGGCAAGGCCTAAACTTCCCTGCTCCCCCACCCACGGACCATGATTAGTCTGGGAGTGGGGGAGCCCCTTTGCCACCCCCTTCCTACTAGGCACTCACGCCACTTGTGCTCCGCCCTGCCACATATTCCTTGCATGCCAGGCGTAGGGCAGGAAGAGGCTTCAGGTGCTCCCCTCAGCCCCAGACCAACCAGAGCCTGGGGGCAGGGGAGCGCTAGAAGCTTCCTTCCACCGTGAGAGGAGCGCGTAACACTTTGAAGTGCCATGTGCTCCTTGCAGGGCTTGGCCAGGGAGAAAAAAGCTTTGCGCAGTTCCCCCACCTTACCCACATCCTGTGAGGAACACGTGGCACTTCAAAGTGCTACATGCTCCTCACACAGTGGGAGGAGGCTTCTTTTGCCCTTCCCCCCAACCCTGCATGAGCGTTTGCCAGTCTGAAGTGCTATGCGCTCCTCGCAAGGCGTTGGGAGGGGAGGGCGAAGGAACCTTTGCATGCTCCTCCTGCCCCCAGGCCAATCAGGGCTTGGGAGCAGGGGAGCACGTGACGTCTCCTCCAGCCCTGCGAGGAGCTCATAGCACTTTGAAGTGCAGCGTGCTCTGCACAGGGCGGGAGGAAATTTTGAGTGCTCCCCCGCCCACAGGCAATATTGGCTTGGGGGCAGGGGAGCGGCATGGCCTCTGCAGGCTGGATTAACCCTCTTGGTGGGCCAGATATGGCCCGTGGAGGCCCTTTTGCCCACCCCTGGCCTAGATGACTGAAAAATGAATGCTTTTTATTTCCAAATGTTATAGTTAATTAACAATGAGCAATATTTGTTTTAACTTTTCATGGTAAGTTTCATGCTTGGGAATGTAAAAGATTAAGTGCTTCACTAACAAGCCATGCAAGAGCTTTCCCACATCATTTTTGTCACCTTTAGACTAGCCTACCTCCTTAGCTTTTCTTAAGCAGATATTCCAAAGGGCGCTAAATTGTGTGGCAGATTATGTGGGGAAAAGAAGAGATCAGGTTCAGTTTAGATGGGAAAATACCATCTTACAAAACCAAAACCAGACTGCCTTCATGAGACTAACCTCTTATGTTCTCATACTAAACACAAGAATGGCTATACTGGGTTACACCAGAAGTCTATCAAGACTAGTATTCTGTCTGCGGATAGTGGTCCATGCCAGGTGCCCCAGAAGGAATTTACAAAACAGGCAATCATCAGATGATCCATTCCTTGTCACCCATTCCCAGCTTCTGACAAACAGGGGCTAGGGATACTATCCCTGCTCATCCTGGCTAATAGCCATTGATAATCCTATCCTCCATACATTCATCTAGGTTTTTTTTTAACTCTGTTATAGTCTTGGACTTACAACATCCTCCAGAAAAGAGGTCCACTGGCTGACTGTGTATTATGTGAAGAATGTGAAGGGAGCAGGTTGCCAGGCCACAGGGCAGGAGCGGGCTGGGGGCAGGCTTCCTGGTAAAGGGGTAGGAAGGTGGCTGCCTGGCCAGCGAGGTGAGGTAGCGGGGAGAGGCATTCTGGGAAGGGGGTGTCTGGCCAGGAGTCTGGGGTAAGGGAGTATTCTGGACAGGGGGCTTATGGCAGGGGGGAACAGCAGGAGGTGCCTGGCCACTGGGCTGGGAGAGATTCTGGCCAGGCGGGCAGTATGGGGAATTGAGGGAAGGGGTTGTCTGGCCAGGAGACTGGGAGTGGGATTTTGGCCTGGAGGCTTGGGGCAGGAGTGATTCTGACTGGGGGTAGGAGGGAGGATTCTGGCTGGGATGTGCCTGGGTAGGGGGCTGGGAGTAGGAGGCTTCTGGCCAGAGGGCCAAGAGGGAGGCAGGGAGGGATGATGGGGAAGCGCAGGGGACAGGTAGGGATTCTGCGCAGAGGGGATTTTGACCAAGGGGGCAGGGGCTGTGTCTGGGGTGGTGAGTGAGAGACTGGGGGTCTGGGCTTGAAAGGGTTGGGGGGACACTTACTTGTTTGTGGCAGGCACCATGTAACATGCCTCCTGCTGCTCTCATTACCCAGAAACCCCCAGGAAGGATTTGCAGAGAAAGCCTCTAGGAAGGGTTTTCCCAGAGGGATGAAAAAGGGCAATGCGCATGGAGCCATTTTGGCTACTTGTTTCCCACATGCGGAGGGAAGGAAAATAACTTCACACAGACACATCTTTTGCTCCGTTTGTTGTCTGCATGCCAGATCCAGTGCAGAGTTTAGGGGGTTTCTCCTCTCCTCCCACCAGAAGTGGGCACTGGCGCTCCAGTCTTGTGTGTGTGGGGGTGGAGAGACATAAGGTTGTAGCACCAGTGCGGGTTTCCTAAAGAATTAAAATATATGTCCTACTGCATATTAATCATACCAGAACTGGTCATTTAATGTAATGGGTAAACGTCAAACAATTAATAGCAATCTGCTAATCTTATAACCCAGAGTAACTTTCAAGAATTAGGTTCTTTCCCTTAAAAATTAGTTTGCATTTTTTAATGATTGTGTGCATTAGGAAAATGATCAGACACAAACAAAAGTTACATGAAAACCTGACTTTAAAAAAAATAAAAAAATAAAGAAAAGAAAACAGAAAACTTACCTGCTATGCTTGCAAATATTTCACTAAATCCAATCAGTACATATTGAGGAATCTGCCACCATATTGGCAAATCAGCAGCATAGTATGTAACATTTCCAATTGTCTGATTAATTGTTTTAACCTTTACAATATTCAGTCTGTTACCTTCCAAAATTCCTAAAAGAAAAAGAAATCCTAAAATACAAGAATTTTTTCACACCTAGACCTAAATTAGGATCCAGATACTGCATTACATGAGTATCTGAACCATGCAATAAAAAGCTTAGATACCATGAATAAGTACTTCATAACATTCCATATCAAGTACTACAAAGTAATAGCCAAAATAGTCTTATTTCAGAATATTCAGTTCCTCTGCCACAGGACTATAGTTATTCTATTCTTCATCAACTATAATTTCACAAATCTTTACTCCATTTCAAGTGGTTTATCTCACAGAGCCATCTGATACAAACTTAATTTTTTTAAAGGCAAATTACTTTGCAAAGTTAAATTATTGCATGTGCAAGCATGAAAGTACTACATCAGTGACTATTTTTCTGTTTGAAATAGTCAGTGCTACACAAATGCAGTTTACCTTATTCATAATCGCTTACTGTTGACTTTCATTTGTATAGCAACTTTCATCACACTGAATTCCAAAGCTTCTTATGAACTCTCTTATAAGTTACATTGCACATTGAAATGCAGACACTAATTTGATTTCTGTGTCATGAAGAGAGTGAAATGCAACAACTATTTAATGGTGCTCATCAACACAATTGGGCATGTTAAAGAAAGGAACTCATATCTAAATGAAGCAGTAGGAGAAATTTCAGCAGGTAGTGAATGGTTCGCCCAGACTGAAATTAGGCATACAGTTACAAAGAATGCTTAGGATCTTTAATAACCAAAACTAAGCATGGCTTCTAATTCATGCGTTACCCAAAGGAATCCACTTCTGGTTAGCAATACAACTGTGTCCACAACCCTATCAATCTGGTACACTAGCTCATTGCTGATTCAAAAGGCAGAACAGTGCCTATTGAATCATTAATACTAGTTCCTGAAGCACTCATATTGAAAAGGTAGGTCTCCATCTGAATGCAGTTAAGGATCAGCCCTGTTTTGGTTAGAAGATCAAGATCTGATCTTATACCTAATAAGAAAAATAATGTCAATAATAATAAAGAGTTCACACATCTGTAACATGCCATGTATACAGAGTTGCTGACAGTGTGCTTAAACAACTAAGTATTATAGTCAATTTCCCCACTTATCAGATCCAGATAAAAAGCAATGGGTGCAATACCCAGACAGGTGCATGTGTGCCATAATGCTGAGTCCCTGATAAGATAATCACGTATATGAAATCAGCCCAAGATTTGAAGGGAAAAAAAAGTCTGCTTTGTTTTAAAAGCCTGAATGTGGTGCAGAAATTGAGCAAGAGAATTCTAGAGCTGAGCCGCTTACAGTTTCGGACTAAAAATACTGTTGTAGTTCACTACTGTGCAATAGGAATGCTGGGGCTCAAGCTCTGGAAGTAAGATAAAAGGTTCACGCCTATTTATAGGTGCATTAAGTGGTCTATAATGTTCTTTTCAGAAGGGTGGAAAGCTTCCTATATGATAGCACAAGTTTAGCCATTAATGTTAAGAACGGGGCTGCTGATAAAAGGGTGGGAGGGAGAGGGGAGAAAAGGACTGCTGCTCCAGGACCTAGCGACTTAGAAGGGCATGGGACTCCCTGCTGCAGCTGCCACTAACATAGCGGTGGCTGATGTTCCAGGCAGTTCAGGATGGGCAGCAATGAAGGGCTGGCTGGTGGAGGCTAGCCCTCAGACCTGCACTTTCCAGGGGCTCAAAGCTGTGCACTGCCCATTTATCCCTGGGGCCCACCAGTTCTGTCAGCATCCTTGGTCAAGAATCAATTGTAGAAAAGAAAGCTCCTAACTGTTCCATTGCCGATTATATTGAAAACAGCAAGTGTGGAAAAAATGGGTACTTTTATTCCTGAAACTACTCCAATTATACTTTGCTGATCCTACCACCACCTTTAACACATTTCAAAATATACTCCCCACTGTAACAATCAGAGCCTGAACATCGTAAAGGGAGCAGAAGTACAAACACTAAAGAATAAGCAATTGGATCAACAGGTTGAATGTAAAGTTACTGTGTATAAAAACATTCCAAAATATGTCTTTTATGAAAGGTTGTAATGTTCTGAACTTGATGGCCCTCATGAGATATGTATAAAGACTAGTTTGCTCATGAGTATTAGTACAGCAAAGAAAAACTCCTTCCAAACCAGTTGTTCACATGATTGTCAATTAAAAGTACTCATTTACTGTCCAGCCAGGAAGAGACAATGGTGGACCATTAGAATAAGTGGGAAGTTATTGCACTAACTTGAAACTGAAAAGAAAAGCTTAGTCTTGGAAAACTGAGGGTATGCCTATAACAGCTGCAGCCATGCTGCTGTGGTTGGAAGCAATGGTAAATCCAACTTTCTTCCAGTGACCTATTGCTAAAGTTGACTTATCATAAGTTTATTTACTCATAAGCATTATAGAGGATCAACAGAAGAAATCTTCCAATCTAGAGTTGTCTACACAGGGATTCGTCCCTGGTCTAGGCTACAAATTTATTGGCATAACCAAGTCACTCAAGGATATGGAAAAATCCACACAATCTCTACCGACCTAATCCCTGGTGTACTCAGCACTATGTCAATGGAAGGGCTTCTCCCATTGATATTGTTTTCCCTTCTCAGGGAGACAAAAGTATCAACAATGATCGGAGAAACTCTCCCCTTAGCACAGGTAGTGTCTTCACTAAGCACTACAGCAGTGTTATAAGTATAGACAAACCCTTAAATTGGATTAACTACACCACTCTGGAGGATGGATTTTTCATACTCCTGAACAATAATTATTTCTAGGGTAGATTAGGGCTACACCTAAAAGCTGCAGTAGCACTCCTGTAGCACTTTAGTAAAAATGCTTAAACTGATGGAAGAGCTTCTCCTGCTAATGCAACAGTGCAAGAGGCAACAGATATGCTGATGGGAGATTACAATGGGATTAGGTTTGTACAACTGTTGTCCAGGGGCATGGATTTTTTATGCCTCTCAGGGTATGTCTAGACTACATGGCTCCGTCAATGGAGCCATGTAAACTAGTTTACCCGGCATAGTCAAAGAAGTGGGGTTTTAAATAATCCCCGCTTCATTAAAATAAACATGGCCGCCGCACTGTGCCGATGATTGGCTGATCCGGCACAGCGCGGCAGTCTAGTCGCGGATCTGTCGGCAGGGGAAGCCTTTCAGATGTATGAATTTTTTTATACCCCTGAGTAGCATAGGTAGATCAACCCAAATTTTAGGTGTAGAACAATCCCAAGAAAGGACAGAATTTCCCTCACCATGAGTCACCATAGACTGAGAGAAAGAAAAAACTGCAAATCCTTCAAAGAGAAAGAATCTGAAATGAAAGGCAAAAGAAACTGAGGGCCAGCATGTAGGTGAAACATTGAATCTATTCCTTGACTATTCAGAAGCAATAATTAGATAAATTTACTTTTTTAATATAAGTTAATATAGAACATCTGCTCAGTTAAAGTCTTGCTGAAATTTAATTGCGTCAAATATAGTATAAAAGTCTATGGCGATGCTTTATGTATACTCAGTTCTTGTAGCTACATGCTGCTGATGCTTATATTTGGCCTCAAGACATGGCTACTATTTATGAACCTTCAGACTAATTTACCATAAATTTACCTTCAAACCTGAAGATTTTAGAAGCTAAAATCCACTGATTCTTTGTTGGACTATACTTGAATGTGACAAGTTACGAGTTTAAAATTCTTTTAACTATTAAAACTTTAAGATTAAATTCTTGCTACAATTGTTTAGAGTCTCTAAATGAAGTTGATTTTCCAGTTGAATAACCTTAAATACTGCTATTAAGAATTTACAATAGAATGCATGAAGTAAGCACAGCAGATGTTCATTAAATGTAATCAGTTGTATTCACTCAATTTATAAAAGGTATTTAAAATAATCTAAACAACCTAATTGGCAGTCTAACTCATGTCCAGAACTACTACCAGTTTGGCAAACATATTAAAAATAAAAACAAGGCACAAACAAGTTAAGTTGCTTCCAAGACTGCAGATTAAAAGATATTGGTATATTTATATTATTCCATATTGTCATCATGATTTCTGTATAAGAAAATGGTGGTCAGATAGATATACTGCAGTTTAAGAGTCAAAGATAATAGCTTTTATAAATGCCACTCATTAGCCTGCCCTGTAAAATGAAACACTCCATGAATTATTAATATAATTGGAAACAAATTTGTATTAACTTCAGCCCCAGAAGTCCATCTGACTTGGGTTCTCACATTCTAGAATGTTAGCTTACTTCAATCAGAGGTCAAGATTGAATTTCTCCACCAGGGGCTTCAGATCAGTGTTTCCAAGGCCAAAGAACCAAAAACCCTGCTGATACCATATTTCTAAGTCAGATATTAATCCTGAAAATTAAGTCATTTGAAATTTTTTAGAATTCGAGTATATGAAACCTGACTCCAATTATTTTATTTCAGAGTGCTTCTGTTTCAGTAGTAGTGGATACTTGACTTTTAAATCAGTTCATGTAAGAATTCTGAACCAGCAAGTATTTCAACTTAAGGCTAACATTCAACATTTCTTGACACTGCCCTCCTATTAGCAAAGAGGAGCTCCCCAAGTGTGCTTAAGTGCCATTGAATAAGAGAAAGATTCCTATTTTAAGTTCAGATGACTTTCACAGTAAGAACTTTATTTTATTAGGCCATGGTCATTTTTGTACGTGGGCAAGTAATTACCTTTCCCGTTGGGAAAAATCTTGATAGCTGTATGAAGTATCCCACTTTCCAAAATACAGAAGAATAGGAGAGAAGAGCTTAATTTTATTTAATGCTATAATGCTTTATCGATATGTTCATTACTGTGATACTTGGTGAAGGGTATAGGGATATAAGACACATTTCTCAGAAATGTTCAGTTCCACATCAGTGCTTAACAACTTTAAACCATCCTCATAGGAGATGATTTATGGTTTGAAAGTGATGCCATCTTTTTCCTTTCATGCCATAGCTAAGCTATTTTACACTACAATAATTCCAAACATTAGGGAACATTAACACCGGGGGGAGAGGGGGAGCGAAAGTAGGGGAAAAGTCTTGCTCAGAAATAAGCAAATTTTATTACTTCTTCTAAATACAGTTCTAAAATAGAATCTCGAGTTTGTTTAATATTTGAAAATCAGACTATAGTAAGGACTAACATTAATTTTTATAAAAATCTTGTTTTTCCTGTGCTTAACATTTAAGTGAAGTGATTTTAATAGTCAGATGATATTGCTTTGGGGCTTCCTTAATATTTAGAATATGGAACTAGAATTTTGTATTTATTTTATGAAGTGGAATGCTTTGCAATCTGATCACCAGTTGCAAGCCAAAACAAAGCTGAGTTCATCTTCAGTGATACAATGATAAAAGTAGCTCTCTGGCTACTTTTCAGTATGCTTAATCTTGATAGCAGCTTATCAGAGAAGCAAAACCTTCATCTTCGAGACTGTGATTAATCAATTGCTGCAATTTATGCTTCTTTAAAAGTGCTAATGTATAACCTTGTTTCAAGCAGAAAAATGGTCTAGTAGTTTTATACATGATAAATAAAAACATGAAAACTTAGCAATGGTATGAGTAAAACCTCTTTGATTAGGCACAAACATTCATGCAGCTCATCCAACAGTTGAAGACTCCAGCACTATTTCAGATACTCATAACAGGACTCTGCAGAAGTGAATCAAATGTATATCTAAGTTGCTTTCTTACCTGCTGCAAGTGCGGAGCACATCACAAAGAACATTCCAACTGCAATCCTCTTCAAAGATGATGGGAGCAAACCATTCCTTTTTAGAATAGGGTCTACCAGTTTATCCTTTAAGGGTATTAGGATCAGAATAAGCACTGCATCAAACATAGTCAACCAGGCTGCAGGAAACTGAGAACAGAGTAGATGGATTAATTCAACTATGTATTACTTACCACCTGATTTATTCTTTTATTTAAAAATAGCATTGTATTTTTCATGCAATATTGAAAACCTGGGAGAAACCGTTATAGACTCTCATTAAAATAAAATATTTGAGTCTTTTGTCAGCACTTAGCTTAGCTATTCACGTTTTACTTAGCTACAGTTTTTTAAAATTCTTCTGGCTTAAAATATTAAAAATAGTGGCTTTCCAAAGTAAGTAGGATACCACTGCATGCTCCCACTTCTGGAATCACATCCATCTGTGCAGAGCTTTGTGAGCTTCCCAAAAAGCAGTGGGGGAGTTGCACAGGCATCCTCTTGCTCGTGACAACATCAAATGTTTAAAATCAAAATTATAAGATCCAACTGCCTCAATTCCTTCTGCTAAACCTAGTAGTTCTAAAATCAGAATGCCAAGGAAGAGGGAAAGATGGAAAAGAGTGTGATTATCAAGAGACATTCTCTGAAAGCCACATGATCCATAAAGAACCCTTCTGCTTTTGAAAATAATGGCATAGCATGATTGCACATTTGGGTATAGTAGGAATGGTATCAATGAAGTATCTCAGCTATTTAGATAGTTGGTCATTTGCAGATAAAAGTGAAACAGGTGTTCCACAAATCAAACCTTTTCATACCTCTAAGACCGTGGTCCCCACCCATCCATCATGATCAAATGGTCGATCCCACGGGCTCGACTGGTCAATCACAAGGCTTTTGGGGCCCCCCGACTTCTCCCCTAATCCCCAGGAACCCCGCTCTGAAGCTACCTCCAGCAACAATGGAGGTAGCATGGGCTTCCTGTGAGGTGAGGAGCAGTTCTGCAGCTGCACACCACGTCCAGGAAGTGTGTGGGCTGCTCTTCCTTCCTCCTCAAACAGCCAGTGCCATACCTGAAACTCCGGCTCCATTGTGTACCGGGGATTTCCTTCCCCTGGCTGCCTTCCTGAGTGGGGGGAGGGGGGGAGTGAGGGAGGGAGAGAGTAGGAGTCCCACGCCAGAGACTTCTTTCTCCCTGCTGCCTTCCTGCATATTGGGGAGGAGGGGGAGAGAGGAGAAGGAGTCCTGGGAACGCACCAGCTCCAACTGCTCAGGCAGTGCCTATTCCCATTGTGTACCGGGGATTTCCTTCCCCTGGCTGCCTTCCTGAGTGGGGGGAGGGGGGGAGTGAGGGAGGGAGAGAGTAGGAGTCCCACGCCAGAGACTTCTTTCTCCCTGCTGCCTTCCTGCATATTGGGGAGGAGGGGGAGAGAGGAGAAGGAGTCCTGGGAACGCACCAGCTCCAACTGCTCAGGCAGTGCCTATTCCAGCATGCACCCCGAGCAGCTGGAGCCGGCGCAGTCCCGGATCCCCACCCACTGCCCCGTGTGCAGGAAGCCAGCAAGGGCACACAGTCCCCAGCGCGCGATGGACCAGCGTTTTAGGTACCACGCCGGTTGTTGGGACGGAGGGGAGAGCAGCCCGCACACTTCCGGGACCTGGCACGCAGCTGTGGACTCCCCTCTTTTCCCCCCAGGCGCAGGAAGGCAGCAGGGGGAAGGAAGTCCCCACGCGCTACCAACCCAACCTTTCAGGTACTAAGCTGGCTGTCTGGGGGGAGGGAGGGCAAGCGGGGAAAGGGAGGATTCAGCCTATGCACTTCCTGGATCCCCAGTTACAGCCCGCACACTTCCGGGACCTGGCACGCAGCTGTGGACTCCCCTCTTTTCCCCCCAGGCGCAGGAAGGCAGCAGGGGGAAGGAAGTCCCCACGCGCTACCAACCCAACCTTTCAGGTACTAAGCTGGCTGTCTGGGGGGAGGGAGGGCAAGCGGGGAAAGGGAGGATTCAGCCTATGCACTTCCTGGATCCCCAGTTACTAGGTTGAGTTGTACCAGTCCCCTCCCCGTCCCAGACCCACACGAGTCCTCAGGACCCTGCTGCAGCCCCCACCAGCACCTGCATTTGCACCCTGCCTGCTGCCTCAGCCCCCTGTCTCAGCTTGCCCCAACCCCCACCAGCAGCCTCCACCTGCCCCCTGGCCAAACCCCCATGAGCACCCTGCTCCTGTCCCCTTCCTCCTGGTCAGACACCTACCCCCAGCTTGCTCCTGTAACCCATTTCCCACCTAGATTCTGTATCCCCATTCTTATCCCACTCACTGGCACCCCTGTTCCATACACTGGATCCCTCATTTTTGGCTCCACCTCAGATTGTAGAGGGCCCCACAAATGCCACTAACCCTGGAACCCAGGAGAGTTAATCTGGCCTGGGGCTGGACTGCCAGAGGAGTGAAGTGTCTCAGTTGGGGCCACATTAGTGAGGCTTGGGGGGTTTTGGAGGGGTTAGTTTTTTGCATCTCACTTATATGGCCCCAACTGACTTTTCTTTGGGTCAGTGACCCATGAACTCAAAACAGGTTCCCCACCCCTCTCAGAAATAAAGACAACGCTGAAACATTTTGTTTAACATATTTTATTTAAAAATTAAGCCTGGCCCACAAGCCCCCATCTGGCCACTGCATCATAACACTTTTGCACCTCTGCCAGACCCCAACCCTGAGCCTCTCACAGCCTCAAACTCCTGCACCCCCACATCCTCAGTCTTGTGCCACAACACTCCTGCACCATTCACACACTGCAAATTTGTGTCCTGAGCCCATCATACTCCCAACTTCCCTGCTCTGAGCCCCTCACACACTCCAACCCAAACTCCAGCACCCTCACATCCACAAACCTGAGGCTGGCTCAGCACCACAATCCTCCTCCTGACCCCAATGCTCCCCAGCCTGGAGCCCCCCTCCGCAAACTAGCATCCCCTTCTCCACGTCCTCCTGCATCCAAATTCCCTCCCAGAGCTTGCACCTCTCATCCCTTCCCACACCCAAATCCTGCACCTCCTGTCTCAACCCAGTCAGGGTGTAGGATTGGGGATAGCAAGTGATGGAGAAGAGGGGAACAGAAATGCAAAATGCAAAAATATCAAACATTTAAGAGCTCAATTATAGAAGGCTGGTAAAAATTATCAGTGAAGAGGCTGACCGGGGCTGTTGCAATACATTGGCCATGGTCCACCTGCTTAGTATCTGAGCCCACCCAGATGTGAGCACCAGGAGCAATGTTTAAATTGAGGGAGGCTGCAGACCCAGAAAAGGCAGGTTTATTTAAAGATTGAGCCAGGTTACTGAGGGGGACAGTTTTATAATAAAGCTGCTGCTGCCTCAGACTGCTCATCTCAGCCCACTTGATTTTTAAACACAGGTTCAGACACTGGCTCATGCCACCCACATCTAGTTACTGCCCTACCTCTCCATTGGATGATTGTTTGGGAGATGAGAGCAATAGGCAGGACAGACCTCTGCTAATGGGGATGAAGTAACTAGAGCCAGGTGAGGTGGGACGCAGCTGGAGCTTGTGTCGATGGGAAACAGAATGAGCCCTTGGACTAGGAGGAGCTCATGCATGAGGTCACAACACACAGGCTCAACCATCTCTCTATCATTCATTCCGGAGAATAGATATTAAATCATTAAGCTAGGTGGCTTAATGGTGGAGTCGTTTTCCCGTTGGCATGATGGAAGAGTAAGTGTGCCAAATCTGTGCGGGACATCAACCACTCAGCTCTCTAATGGATATAGGTTTCACAACATATCTATATACATATAAGTATTTGGTCCTGCCATGAGGGCAGGGGACTGGACTCGATGACCTTTCGAGGTCCCTTCCAGTCCTAGTATTCTATGAATATTGAGCTTGGATGGGAAACAGAAGACCCACAAATAATGTCATTCAGTTTTGGTCCAGCTGCTCCACTGCCATGATATCTGGCAAGGGGTTCTGGCTATTAGGCACAGATGTGGAGACTAAGCCCCTCTTACTCTACCCAGCTGCTCTCTATGGGTATGTCTACACTACAGGACAAAGTCAAATTAACACATGCAACTTCAGCTACGTTAATTGTATAGCTTAACTCAGCCTTTGGCCTGTCTACACTGTTGGAAGTTGAAGAAAGAACCCTCTTCCTTCAACTTCCCTTATTCTTTGTGAAAACAGGACTACCAACATCAACCAGAGTGCCCCTCTCACTTAAAATTAGTGGTCATAAGTAGTCCGCTAATTTGAACCCTGGAAGATCGACAGCAGCAACTTTGATCTTCCTCTGTAGTGTAGACGTGCCCTACTGGATCCACACCATAAGCCATCTGAGCATTCCACACCAATGAATTTCAGTGGGTTTGAGTAGACTGGAGTGATGTCTTGAAGTGCTGGCACAATGAGTTTCAGAGTGCTGGCAGAGCCAGACTCTTCATCTGAATCAATGAATAAGGACAAAAAAAGGAATAACTGACAGAACATCATGATCAATGCTAGAAGGATTAGCTTCATCTTAACATCTGTATTGTGTGTGTCTTGGAATGTACTTAATAGAAAATTCATTATCCTGAAAGAACTTTCATGTCATTAAGATCTATGAAATCACAGAACACCTATCTGTTGAATTATCGATTGTGCCACTTGTCTCTGGTAAACAAATATTTACACATTATTTAAACAAATATACCAAGATGCATCTATAATAGCAATCAAAGGCAATTTTAATGGCATATATGGCAGATGGTGGTTTAATACAATTAGGTATTCCCTGCTTGTTTATTTTGCTTCCAAAGAGGTGTTCTTGAATCTGAAAATAGGGTTAGATTTTCATTACTCAATTGTTTCTATTCTAATCATGAGAACTATTTAGTAGACAGATGCTGTAGATCTGCCATTCATATTATGACTTTTCATAGTTGCTGCATAGTAGAAAGAGTATTTTACTAATATAATGCAACATATAATTAAAATGAAATTATAATTGTCAAATGATCAAAGTGTATTTTGTGACACATTTATTCTAACATCCAAAATTCAGTAATTCACAATAAGATCCCAAGTCTACCAAGCTTTAAAATATTTTGAGTCAATTCTAAATGGATAAAGATATTCCATT